GTGTCCTCCACAGGGGCTATGCGTCCATCCCTCTTCTGCTCTTCCAGATCGGGCTGTCCCCACTGCAGTTCTTTGAGGACAGTGACCCCGCCTCAGGCTCCTGCACGCCCTCCCTGCCCTCCCGCAGTGGCTCTCCTGCACTCTGTGACATTGAGGTGGGACCCAAGGGACCTGTGTCCTGGCTGATGGCTGCTGCCAACAGTATAGAGATCATACAGGTAACTCCTCAGGGCAGCGCTCACAGCCTGGCAGCGCTCTGAGTGCTGCCACCCTCCTTTCTGCCCATCCTAACATTTCCCTGGCACCTGTGGTGCTGCCAGGAGGAAGCTGTGTGCTCCCCTGGCTACAGGGGTCAGCCAGAAAGACCCCTCCAACCTGTGTCCCTGCAGAGCCAGCGCCAGGAGGAACAGACGAAGCTGTGCCAGGCATTTTAACAGCCCAGGAGCCTCTGAGCTCTCCCACACAGCACTTCCACCCAGGCCACGTCCAGCCCCTCGAGCCTCAGCACTGCTCAGCATGGACCTTGCACACGCAGCTCCTGTGTCTCCATGCCTGGCTCACAGCATGACCCTCCCGGGGACTTGTCTCTGCTCACCGAGGCTGGCTCAGAGCTTTTATCAACCACAGTGGCAGCTCCTTGTAACCTGACCACAAACCTGTGTCTTTGCCTGCTCAGCTACCTCCAGGGATTTCTCAGGACATTGCACTGAAGCCCTTGCCCAGCTCCAGGCTCTGGGAGTTCCCAGGAGAGCTGAGGCACTGCCCTCTGCACCGTGACTCAGGGGACTCGAGGGTTGGCTCAGATCTGCACATGCATGGACATCTCTCCTGTGCTTCTCCTCTCATCCTCTCCCTGAAGCTGTGGGCAGTGAGTGTCCACCACCCACCACCCTGTTCCTGCACCACCCTTTTGGGGTGTGATTAAAGGACAAATCCACACTGCTGTTTGTGTGGGTGATGTTATGGACAGCACTGTGTCTTGGCAGCACATCCCGGGGCCAGATCCATCCTCTCTTCCCAAGCCTGGAGTTGGGCTGTGGATGCAGGAAGCTCTCCAGGTGTGCTGCTGAGAGGGTAGGGGCTGAAAGCCATCCTGAGAGCCCCTGTACCTCCAAGAATTTGAGGGCAAACTCCTGTAGGCATCCCTCATGCCCCATGGCAAGGGTTGTTCCTGAGGGTTCCCCTTGCAGGTGACACATCAGGAGCATCTGTTCATGCCCTGCCAGGCTGTGACAGTGCTGGGGGAGGGACACGAGGGGGTCCCGGGGCACGGGGGGGTCCCAGCAGGGGAAGTTTCACCTCTCTGCTGAGCGTGGGAGAGTGAAAATGAGCAGAGTTTTGCACAGGGCCAAGAACCGCAAACCTCTGGCTGAGGTTTTACCTCGGCCCCTTCTTGAGCGCGAACGGAAACGCGACACTGGAGCAGTGCCCCGTCAGGTAGGGAAGTCTCTGCCTCTGTGTCCCCTGAGCTCAGTGCAGGCATCTGCAGTGCAAGAAGCCCTTTTGGGAGCCTTTGGGAGCTGACAGCTCGGGAGGGAGCAGGGCTGGCCAGCTGCAGGCTGGTTTGGAGCTGAATGGTGGGAAAAGCTTGGCTGGGAGCCCCAGCAGCACTGAGGTGTGGGGTCCCTGCATCTGTCCCAATAGCCCCGAGTGAAACCCTCCCAATGGACCCCAGTGAGACAGTCAAAACAGCCCCAAGCAAAATCAACCTTTGCTTGAAGTCTCACACGTAGCTACAGCCCCAGCTTGGAGTGAATAATGCCCAGAGAAGCAGATAGTCAGGAATGCAATTACTTAAGTGTGTTCCCTGATCTCTTTGGATCAGAGCCATGGTGATTTTTGTACTTGGCTCTCACAAAGGCAGTGTTGCCCTCCCCAGTTCTCTCCCCAGGTACTTGTGGTAGTGTGGAGCTGGCCAGGGCACCCGCTGGTGGTCAATCCGGCTTGACTATTAGCCAGAATCCATTAGCACCTAATGGGAAAAGCCTCAGGAACACGGCCTCAATAAACCTTGACATATTTGAGGTCAATATAATCCTTAGGAAAATTTGCCCAGGTAATTAAAGCCAGACAAGGAGTTGCCTGTCCCAGAAATATTTACCAAGCTTTACCAACGGCAATAAAATGAAAGCAAGGAGTTTTATAACCAATCCATGCCAGGCTCCCTTGTTTTGTTTAGTGCTGCTTCCTGCTGAGCTGTCCATCTGGCTCCTCAGCAAGTGGGTGCCAAAGGGGAAGCAAAGCTCCCTCAAGGAGGTTGGATCCAGAGTTTGAGGCTGTGCTGTCCAACCTCCAGGCCTGAGTTTGGGGTGCTCACGTTCCCCAGACCGATGTGGCCAAAGTGCAGCACCCACAGTTTTCCTTTGCCTGGTTTCTGTCGCTGCCGTGTCGTACCAGCCACAGCTGGCTTTTGCGAAAGGATGTGCCCTTCTGCCTGGAAGAGGAGATGAAAAGAGGATCTGAAGGCAGCAAAGAAACAGAACTTAACTGACTTTCAAGCACATGTTTTAATTTTCTGAAAGTTTGCTGGTGTCAGCTCTGACAAACTGACACTTTGGTTCCCTTTAGATTCCCCGGTGCCCTTTTCTCTCCCCAGTCCCTTTTCACTCCCTGCTTCTCTTTTCTCTCCCCGATCTCCTTTTCACTCTCTGGTTCCTTTTAATTCCTGGCCCCCTTTTTCACTGCCCGGTCCCATTTTTTCCCACGGGTCCTTTTTTCTCTCGCTGCTCTGCTCCTGCTCCTTCTCCCGTAGGAGCATGTCGGGAACAGGGGCTCAGGTCTGCCTGTCCCTGCCTTTGCGGGGAGATGCCTCAGGTACCTGCCAGGAGCACTGGACGCTCTCCCGTTCCCATTCCCTCCCTGCCATGGGGATGCCGCTGCTGCTCCTGCATCTCTGGGAGAAGGGGTGGGGTGCAACGCCGCTTCCCCGCGTCCGGGCCGTTCTTAGAAAAGGGAACGCGTTTTCAGGAAAGGGGAAGCGATCCCGTTTCGCAAGCTGGGCGAGGGGTACGGGAAGGGCCGCGAAGGCCGCGGGTCCCTCCCGGGGGCGGCGGGGCGAGCGCGGCCCCCGCGTTCCCATGG